TTTCCTCTTTGAGGCCATTTCTTACCGTACCCAGACTGTCTCACGCTCCTTTAGTGCAGTCTGGTGAAAGTACACACCGACAGGAGTTCCAGACAGCCTGTGGAGCTGATTTTACTTAATCCCATAGAGATATTTAGTCACTAGCACCAGCAATTATCCATTTTCATCTCTCTCAGTGGATGGCTCCCTAGGAAAATCTATTTTTCAGGGTTACACGATAACATTGCTAAAAGGGGAGGGAGAGAGAATACCAAAGTCCTGTGGCCAAGCACAGGGCAGGCCCAGACCCACGCTGGTAGTGGGGAAGTGTGAGACAGGAAAGAGTGAACAGCACTTGGCCAATGACAGAAGGCACCATGCTCAACTCAGGGAAGTGGAAATTGCCCAAAACCTTGAGAATGAGGGCGCAGTGTTTTCACTTAAATAGGTTAAAATGAATGCTCAGGACTAAGGACTTCTGCACCTTCAGTCCAAAGTGGCAGGAGAGCAGGAAGTTGGTGACAGCTCCTACAGTGTAGTGAAAGCCTGGGAGTACCTCCACTCCCTACCCTACAACCACAGGCACCCCACCAATGTTGGGACCCTGTTCAGAGTCCAGTTTGCCTTTTTAATTTTTTTTGTAGTTATAGTTGCACAGAATGCCTTTATAACAAATTTTTATGTGGTGCTGAGTATCGAACTCAGTGCCTCATGAATGCTAGGCGAGCACTCTGGCACTGAGCCACAGCCCCATCCTGCCTTTTTTTAAAAGTCTGATCACTTCTCTCTTTGACTTTCTGCCAGTCTTAAAGCCTTTCTGCCATAATTTTAGCCCATTCCCTGAATTCTTCTCAGGAAAAATCACCCATTCTACAGTGTACCTCCCCTGTAGCAGGAGCTACAGTGGCCAGCCACATGGACGCTGGAGGCAGGCTCCTGGCCTCAAATCCGGGTGTAGCCACTTGCTAGTATCTGGGTAGTATTTGGCTTTTCTGTTCCTCAAGTCTCCTTATCTGTAAAAAGGCAATAATGGAATTTAGGATTAATTAAAGGATTGACTGAATTAATACATGTTAAGCACATTATTGTTAGGTGTTACTGTCACTGGATAACATCTAGGCACATGGCAATCATATTTTAAACATTGCACATCTAGTTTTCATTTCAGCCCATTCATGTTTTTATCCTTTGAGACACAGACATGATATCAAGTTTTTCTGCTGGATTTCTGGATTTTTTTTTAAATACTGGGGATTAAATGGAGGGATGCTCTATCCCTGAGCTACATCCTCAGCCTTTCTTTTTTATTTGAGACAGGGCCTAAGTTGCTAAGGCTGGCCTGAAACTTGTGATCCTCCAGCCTTGGCCTCCTGGGTTGCTACATATGCACCACAGCTGGCTGGATTGCTAAATTCTTTTTTTTTTTTTAATATTTATTTTTTAATTGTAGTTGGACACAATACCTTTATTTATTTATTTTTATGTGGTGCTGAGGCTCAAACCCAGGGCCTCACACATGCTAGGTGAGCACTCTACTGCTGAGCCACAGTCTCAGCCCTGTCCAGTAAGCTGAAGACATAACCCACAAAGGACAGTGGATACACAAATGAAACACGTGGACATTTAGGAGGAGACATGAAAATTTAGTCTATTAAGGATTATTTGCTCTTCTCCCTGTTTCTTGAATACAGTTTGTTCTGCATATGAACATTTTGAAGGTTACAGGATGTTATTACTGAAGGTAGAGTAGAAATTCAAGTTCTTTTTGGAAAAGGTGAACCAATCAGCACAAACTGGGTCATATTATTACTATCTGAGATTCTGTGAAGAGGAAGAGCTGCCTCTTTGCAAGGGGCTGCATCTTATTTTTTTTGAAAAACACCTAGAGACTTTTCTGTGGTCCCTGAAGACATCAGTTGTGGGCAAAACTTCTCCAGCAGTGAATGACACACATGTCCAGCATTGCTCTGGGCAGTGGGCTCACGCAATCTGGGACAGGCTGAGACCAACACTGGTCCTCTCCTTCTCTTACTTCTTTTCCAAGATCTCTATCCTTGTCCTTTCCTTCTGTTTCTTATTTTTAAAAAATTCTTCCAATTGCTTTTTTCCCATAGTTTTTCTTGGTGCATTAGTTGTATACAGTGATGGCATTTGTTCTTTTTGTGCCTGCATACAATGTAACAATATATTTTGGCCACTTCCCACCTCCTCCTCCCATCCCCTGGTTCCTTTTCTCTACTGACCTCCCTTTGATTTTCATGAGGTCCCTACCCGCTCTTCCCAATGTTTCTTTTCCTTTTACTTCTCTGTCTTCCACATGACCCTTGACTTTCTGAGTTTGGCTTATTTTGCTCAACATAATGGTCCCTAGATCCATCCATTTTCCTGCAAATGACATGATAATTTCATTTTTCTTCATGGCTTAATAAAACTCCTTTGTGTCTATATACCACATTTTCTTTGATGGACACCAAGGCTGGATCCATAGTTTGGCTATTGTGAATTGTGTAGCTATAAACATGGGTATGTACATATCACTGTAGTATGATGACTTCAGCTCTTCAGGATAAATAACCGAAGAGTGGTATAGAGGGGTCATAAGGTAGTCCCAGGCCTAGTCTTTTGAGGAGCCTCCAAGCTGATTTCAATAGTGGTTGTACTAATTTGCAATCTCAAAACACTGCAAAAGTGTTCTTTTTTTCTCCATTTCCTTTCCAGCATTTATTACTTATTTTTCTCCCCTTTCTGATACTAGAAATTGAACCCAAGGGCACTTAAACACTGAGCCACACATCCCTAGTCCTTTTAATTTTTAGAGAGAGGGTTTTACAAAGTTCCTTTGAGTTGGTCTTGTACTTGTGGTCCTCCTGCTTCAGCCTCCTGAATCACTGGGATCATGTTTATATGCCACCATGCCTGGCACATTGTTTGTGTTCTTGATGACTGAAATTCTGACTGGATTGAAATGAAATCTCAGTATAGATTTGCATTTCCCTAATTGCTAATGATGTTGAACTTTTTTTAATATATTTGTTGGATATTTGCATTTCTTTTGAGAAGTGTCTATTTAAGGTATTTGCCCACTTATTAACTGGATTGTTTTATGGTGTTAAGCTTTTTGAGTTCTTTATGTATTCTAGATATTAATTCTGTCAGAAGAGTAGCTAGCAAAGATTTTTCTCCCATTTTGTAGGTTCTCTCATCACATATTGTTTCCTTTGCTAGCAAAGATTTTTATTCTGACGTCATCCCATTTATTAACTCCTGGCATAATTTCCTGGGGTTTAGGGGTTCTCTTTCTTCTATTTTTAAATATGTCTTCTTCCTAGTCTGGTGGAGTTAGGGTAAGCTTTGAAGTTGTGGACCGTGAAGTGCTGTCAGGGCTGTTACCTAGTTACTTGAACACGGGCTGCTCACTCAGTCCAGAGGGACTTCCTTTCCTCAAGGACACGGGCAACCTCTCCGCAGCATCATGGGCTGGTAGCCAGGAGCCTGGGCACACTTGGCCTGCTGCAGGTGCTCTTCCAGGCCACTTACTTGATTCATGTCCGACATGGATCTGAGGCTACTCTTCAATCTATCTTCTTGATTCCAAAACATGTCTTACTCCCTTCACTTCATTTCCAGCTTTATGTTGGAAACATAATCTTCTAGAAGTTACACTTATAACATCCTGATGTACCCAAAACCTAACTCATATTTCCCCAATGACTAGTTCCTTTCCTGAATTTCCTGTTCCTTTCTCTACACATCCTGTCCAACATTTATTATTTGTATTCTCATTTTACTTATTTATTGTGGCACTGGGGATTAAACCCAGAGCCTTTTCACATCTAGCCAGATCCCCAGGTCCCCTTTTTGGGGGGGGTACCAGGGATTGAACTGAGGGGCACTTAACCACCGAGGCTGATCCCCAGCCCTTGTTTTTTTTTTTTTTGGTGACAGGGCCTTGCTAAGTTGCTGAGGCTATCTGTGAACTTGTGATCCTCCTCTTGCCTCAGCCTCCCAAGTTGCTGGGATTTCAGGCATGAGCCACTGCCTGGCCCCCTTATTTCTTTTCTTTTTCGTTTTTTTAGTATTTTATTTTAGTTGTAGATGGACACAATATCTTTATTTATTTTTTTTGTGGTGGTGAAACGTGAACCCAGTGCCTCGTGTTTGAGGCAAGCACTCTACCACTGAGCTATAACCCCAGCCCCCCCTTTTAAAATTATTTATTTAATCTGTTATACATGATGGCAGAATACAATTCATATTACACATATAGAGCACAATTTTTCAAGACACTGATTGTAACAAAATATTCTCACACCATTCGTGTCTTCATACATGTACTTAGGGTAATGATGTTGAACTCATTCCACCATCATTTGTAACCCTTTGCCCCTCCCTCCTCATTAAGATAAACAAAAGTCACATTGCTTAATGGGTTTGTTTGGGTTCTATATCAGCCACTCTCAGAACTGATGAGACAGTAGTTCTTGCCCCAGGACAGCCTCTCATGGGTTAATCTGTGTAAATAGCTCTGAATTTACAATCATCAGAGGAATAAGGTGATTGTGAAAGCCCCATCATTTCTGTGGTTGTATAATGTTTGGAATACTCTGAACCTATTAATTCTTCACAAAAATCTGTAGTAGCCAGTTCATGGCTGAGTACACAGGAGAGATGGGGTGAAGCAAGGAGTGCCATGGTCTACTGAGTTCAAGTTCTTCACAAAGACCAACACTGGGAAGGAGCCAGGTCAGGCAGGTAACCAGGATCACCAGGATTATCCAATATTAAATATTAGAGAAAGTGGAGATGAGAATTAAATTAAAGGTAAGCCATTCTCCAATTACATGGGAGCGTAAGTCAGAAGTAATTTCCTGTAATGTTATGGAGTTTGTTACTACCCCAATTATCTCATCCATAGCAGCAGCAGCCGGCTGGTAAATGTTTCCTTCTGATTGCCATGTCTTCTGATAACTGGTTAGTTATGGACGCTAGCAGTATAAATGAAGAGTTAAGAGAGACAAAGGAAACATTTTGATTATTTTATTTTTTAATCTTCAAAATTTTCTGCCATGACACAGGAATGCATGATAGAAATGGCTCAACATCTTCACATGAAACACTTGGATTCATTTTCATTCACAAGTTTTTCTAAAAACATCTACAATTTCATAATTCCCACCCATTTCCAACCATTATCACAGATTTAACTGACCATTAAACAGTAGTTGCCAGCATTAGATAGCCGGAACGCTTTCTGCACATTAGTAGTGTCTTTGGAAACTACCACCCAAGAGTATCACAATTATAAATTTCATTGTACATGGCAACTCCAAAGGTGACTGATGTCCCCAAATATACTCCCTGCTTATTCATGGAGAAGTATATCCCCCAGGTACTTTGTTCATTTCCTGTTCTTACAGAGAACAGCACATGCTGACCTGACGGTGTAGTTCTCATTGCCAACAGGTGGTGATACTTACTGGTGCTCTCTGGTAACTACATACAGAACATACCGAAAAAAGTCAGGTTACTTAGAATCTACATCTCTTGTTTTGTAGAGAACTACTTTGAGGTTTTTAAAAAACAGTTGTAAACAAAAGGAAAGAGATACACACAGACATATATCTATACACAGAGAGACCTACACTGAGTATTGTGATGTGGTGCACATCTTCTTACGTAGAGCTACACGCTAACAGAATGTCTCTACTCGCCCCTTCACACACCCACACCCTTCCATACAGCGTGTGAATATAAACGTAAGTGTCCTTGGGAGTTCACTGGAGTTTTCATATTACCAAATGATGATGAAATACCTGATATGTATTACTCCTGAGAAGATACAAGAAGGGAATGACAGTTCTGATGCACTTTGGAATGGCACAATCACGTAAACGCTTGCATACTTAAGACTTTTGAACTCATCCAAAGTTTCTAAACACGATCCAACCAAAAAAACAAAACAAGAAAATATCAAAACAATGTGGCAAGTTAAAAAATAAGAAAAAAAAATTTGTAATCAAAGTATAAACAAACATATAGGAAATGCATATCTGTCAGTAATTATTTTAAAGTAGGAGACACGTACTTAAGAAAAACATAGTTTCGGACAAAACTTAAAACAAAAAACAAAAAACTTTTCAACGCATAATAATACATGCATTGCATAAAACAGCCACATTTGATTTGCAAAGCTTATAGCAACTCCATCAGAAAAAAAAAAATCACCACATACGGCAAATCTTTTAAGTATGTAATTTATAAAAAATTACTGTGACTGTTATTCACAATTCTGTAAAAAAGAATTTTCAATTTGATGAATATCCTATCAGTATAATTAATTTATATAAAAATTACAACCAATGAATTTCAAGCACCAATTGAATCACTTAAACTTACTGTGTTTATATTTCTCCTTTTGAGGGAACAAATGACAATGAAGGCTAAACTAAAATTAGCCAGCTAATTATTACAGTTTAGTTTTAAAGGCATGTGGTTTTTCTTCTTCCATTCACTCGAATGGCAAATGTTAGAGAATGTTTAGGCCAGCAAAGGACTCCTTGGAAGAATCCACCATTTCTGAGCATCAGTGGTTTAATATACATTAAAAGCTCTTCAACAAACTAATGCTTTCTCAGTTCTAGGATAAAATAGATTTGCACACAAGAAATGAAGGACTATTCCTTGTTATAACTTAGAAAAGGCAGCACCTATATAGTAGACTAACAAGCACATCTGGACATCTACTGGTAGTGTAAGAAGAGGCATTATTATTCAAGAAGGCAACACCATTGCACTTGGCAATACTGAAGTTTTTCTTAATTAAAAAAATTTCCATTTGACATTTGGGGTGGGAGGATATCTCAATAAGAGCACATTGTTTTCCCCAGTTTCTTTTTCTAAGTCAGGAAGAAAAGTGGCAATCTAAGCCAGTAGATGCGTAACAGTGTTTGTGATGCCTCTGGTTGTTCCTGAAGAAAACACGTTCAGATAACAAGAGGGTTTATTTTCAATCAATACAACTGTTATTTCCTGTTTCCAGTATTTACATCCTATCACATACACAGTGATTTCAGAGACATGATAAATGTTTCAGTCTTTATACTATTAGGTTTGGTTAATTTTAAATGCATACCAAACTGAACCTTTAGGCTGACTGCATTTGAGAGACTGAAATATAAGACTATTGAAGAAAACAGATTATGCAGAAAACACAATCTTGATCAACAGTGATTCTCCATCCTATTATCTGAACTTTACCACAAAATCACATGCAGCTGAAGGAGAAAACAACTGCACTGAGGACTGGGTCTCAGGACAGGGAGGGAGTGTCTTGCTGGCCCTCAGGAAGAGTAGCTCCACTCTGCTTTCCGCTCACCTCGATGGCTGGTTCTTCGTAAATAGGCTCACCGAGGTCCTCGCTGCCCTCCTCACTCTGTTCCTCACTGTGGTCTTCGCCTGGCTCCATCATCTGTTCCAGGCTATTCTCCAGAAGTGTGGGGGAACTGCTTATTCTACTTTCTTCTTCAGCAGTCTCATTTAAGGGCTGGGAGGGAGGCGGTGTAGGAGTATTAGACTGGATGGTATTTTCAATGGAAGAGATGGGGGCTTTGGTTATAGTAGTATCTGTTGTAATCTCATTCTGAGGCAAAGATAACTTTTCCACAAGTTTCCACTGAATGATGCTCATGTCTTTTCCACCAGTTGATATCAGATGACTGTCATTATGAGTAAAACTGACATTGGTGACATGGCTGCTGTGGGCACTGTACTTGTGACTGGGAGCCTATATAAAAGAAATTAAGACAGGAATATTAAAACTTATTCCTAGTCAATGAAATGGAGCTGACTGGCTAAGGGAAGTGACTCAGCTTGTTAAACAGGTAATTCAAATCAAAGCTATGAAGTCATCAAATATGAGGAATAAGGCTAACAATAATTGCTTTTAAATACCCCTTTATATAAAAGGAGAAACAAAACAATTGGTAACTACTTCTGTGAGATGGGTAGGGGGGAAGTGACTAGGTTGGCAGGATTGTACATGATTCAAAAAATAAGATAAATTTAAAAGTGCCAAAAGATCAAAATAAACTTGACAGTAAATGAAAAGGGACAAAATACCACCAGCTGCTAATGATACAGCTGTCTTTTTGTCCTTAATAAGGAACAGGAGATAAGCAGTGTCTGCCTGGATGCTCACAGATGACCCTGTTCTCCCTCTGTGCATCACCGAATCATGAGGAGTAATTATTAATCCTGAAGATATTTTCTTATCAGTGACACAAAATTATCCCCCCAAACAGGTCCTAACCATACTGGTCTGTTAAGATGAGGTTACCTTTGCTTTGGAGCAGGGATACTGAAACAGATGGACTTTACAAAAGTCATCTGCAACAGCTATCACCTTTCTCTTGTGGGATCGCACCAGTGCATTTATGTCTGTCCCATCTGATCCTTCTGGCCAGACACCTTTGACATGTAAACAACAGAAACATAGAAAAATCAACCTTAAAAAACTGAGCTGTGATGCTGTACATGTTAAATCTAAATAGCCTCAAGATGGAAAACTTAGACTCAGTAGTTCTTAACGGTAGCCAGCAGGTGGGGCTGATATATTAATTTCAGCTTGACTCACCCGAACAATAAGCTCTTCCTTTTTCAAAGGAAAAGTTTAGCAGTTACTTGTATGGCAAATTCAAGAACAGAGCCATAGCACTATGTCTTCAAAGTAGATTCTAAGTTCCTTCAAAGCAGGTGACTCCAAGATACCTCGGAGACCTTCTGTTTTATGGAGATGCACTGGCGGGACGTCCACTGTTCTAGCCTGCTACACCACAGAATTTTCACAGAAACATTATTTATGTCCAGAGATCAGGCATACCAAATGTAACGGTATGTTACAATTATTATTATGCAATTATTCTGAACCATTACAAGGCACTGGTAATGTTGTTGAACACAAACTTCCATTAGGTTACATTAAAACCGTGGAACATTTAAGGTTGGCCTCCTGTTGGCTGAATGTTGCTCTAGAGAATAAATAAGGCTTTGGTAAACTTGCTGAACAAGTAAAATCACTTTTGTTATCTTGTGACAAGTAAATAATTACTGTATTATTATCAGCTACTAGCTAATGTTTGAGTTTCACCCAAAATAATTAAACTGTTATGGAGAAGTCCGGATTGTTTTGTTTTAAATTTCTTCCTTGCTTTTTTAGTCTTCTCTATCCTAAGAACATAATGGATTTGTTTTCTAATGTACACAGCATAAACAGATATTCAGATCTGTGATCAGGCTGGAGACAAAAACCCAAATTCCAGAAGGCAGAGATGTATTATTAAAGAAAAAATATAATATTTTGGATATCTGCTTTGGGTATTGGTGCCACATTCATATCCACTATTTTAAATACTGAGCATAACGCCTCTTTACAAACAAGGCTTTATAATTTTAACTTTTCCATTTATCTTCTAACCCTTTTGGGAGGATATGTAAAGGCTTAGGAAACTGTTACAAAGGACAGATTTCTAGAAATGTCCAAAACATCATATTAGAAATAATCTCCAAATTTTATCTTTAAATAACATCTACTAAAAATGCCTTGGTATTTGGACAAACAGTACAGGGATGGCTTAACATCCACATGCAAAAGTGTAATTTTTGAATAGTGCATTTTGCAAGGACACAGAGAAACTGAAACCCTCATTCACTGCTGGTGGGCCTGTAAAGGGTACAGGCACTCTGGAAAACAGTCTATTAATTCCTCAAAAGGTGAAACACAGAATTAGCATTTGAGCCAGCAATTCCACTCATCAGAGAGACGAAAACATGACTACAAAAAAATGTGCACATGATTGTTCATAGAAGCATTATTTATGATGGCTAATAAGTGGAAACAAACCTAAGTGTCCATTAACCAATGAAAGGATAAACAAAATGAAGTATATATCCATACAAAGGGCTGTCATTCATAAAAAGAATGAGGTACTGAAATGTGCCACAACATGAATGACCCTTGAAAAAGTTATGCTAAATGAAAGAAGCCACTCTCAGTGCATCATATATTGTATGCTTCCACCTACATGAAAAGGAATAGAGAAAGTAGATTAGTGGTTTCCAGGGTTGGGGGAGAGGATGAGGAAGGGAGAGAGATGGAGTGTGATGCTAATGGGCACAAAATTTCTTCTTGGGGTGATGAAAATGTCCTAAAATTAGACCACAATAATTCCACAACTCTGTAAATATATGAAAACCAACTCAGGTGAACTGAATAGTATGTGAGATCTCAATACAGCTGCCATTAAAAACAAAATGACTTTACCAATTTAAAAGCTTCATTTGGAAAGGAGGGGGAAAAGGAGGAGGAGGGAAGAAAATCTGCATTAGTACGTAAATTCCTTTCCTTTTGACTGTCTCATATTTACTGGGGACCAAATGTGCTGAGTTCTGCAGAGAATAATCCTGTATTGGTTAAATACTAATACACATTTAATTTTTTCTGACAATGACATTAATAGTGATAACACTAAAGAATGTAAATGGACTATATTTCATTTATCAATTTAAGCAAGTAAGCATAAATAAAAACCTCAGAGATCGCCTCTTCACATCAGGGGTTATGTTCTTACCAAAGACTTGAAAGCCTAGCACACAGGTATACGTCGTCCAATCTATGTCCTTACAATCCGAGCGATTCCTGATTAGTTTGCAGCCACTTTCAATGTCCCCTTTAAATTTAGAAACAGGAAGTATAATCACAGTGCTTGTGTACAAATGTATTTGAAAGTGCATCTTGATTCAAACTAGTCACGTTTACTTGTATTTATAATCCATACACTGAAAAACATTAAGACACATTTAAAAAGGGAAAAAAAGTGTTTACTTAACAGGGTTTTATAGAACTACAAATTGTTTCACACGGAATTGTTTTTTTGTTTTCTCTTAAAAAGCATAAATGCCCAGTGGCTGTTATCCTTCTCCCTGCCTCCAGGAAAAGTTGTTAAATGAAAAAACATTAAGAGCAGCATCAATCTTACTGAGAAATTTCTTACTACTACTACATGTGCCTTTAGTTCTACACCATTAAACTCATTACTTTTCTGGAGAAGTGAACCACATTTGCAATTCTCATTACTTAGTTCAGAGTAACATATGCTTTGTCAAGTTAGAAGCCAGCATACATTCTCTTGGCAAAAGCCGAGTTTTGTTCACATGCAAGCATCTCATGATTTCCAATAAATTACTTCAGATAATTCACACTCTAGGCAGCCTGTTCATTAGTGCCCATGACAGTCATATCTGAGCCCATATATGATTATTCACACTTACAGTACAATATCTCATAGTCTCCCGAGTTAGACATTATATGCTTGTTGTCCGGTGACCAATCAAGGTGTGTGATGTAGCTGGAATGTCCCTAGAGAAAAACAGATAAACCGTTAGAAAGCATTTAGAGTTCTGAATGATAAACGGTTTATTAGCCAATACTGTTTTCTGACTAGCCATTTGTCAGAATTCTTAAAGATCAGGGAGCAGTATCACAGCCTCTAAAGCTGAACAGGGCCCACAGCAGGTCCTCAGTTCTTTTTCACTCTGTTGTTGGAAGCCAAAGATGCAGATATGTAAAATGCCAATGATACATGAAGAGTTTTAGAACTCAAGAGATCTCACCACCATGGAAACTTAAGGACTTCGTACCTGGTAGAATCTTGCTGGCCTTTCACCTAGATACCAGAAACAAAACTAGAACCTCTGCTAGAGCATTCTGAGAATGACAGTTTCTTAAGCCCAAATCTTAGAGGACACTGCAATAGATAACACTCCCTCAGGCCTTATTTCAAGCCACTGGTGTCTCAGTGACTCCATTTATATATAGTTGTAGTTGGACACAATACCTTTATTTTTATTTATTTATTTTTATGTGGGTGCTGAGAATCGAAACCAGGGCCTTGCATGTGCTAGGCGAGCACTCTACCACTGAGCCATAGCCCCAGCCCCCTTCTGGCCCCCCTCCCCCGTGACTCCATTTTTGAGAATGAACTATAATTATTTATAAGTAACAAAGTACAGTTTTTCCAGACTGTTTGTGGCACCAGAACAGTCAGAATGGAGGTCCTGAAAAACTGTTAACAAAGAATATTTGGGGGTAGGAGGAAATCATCCAATATTGCACTTCTTTAGAATAGCTTGGACCCAATATATACCCGACTCCTGAAAGTTTAATCCTTAAACAGGACACCGATAATCTTTTGCTGCTTCGATTTTATTAATACAGTGGGAGAGAAAACAAAAGAAATTTACTAAAAGCTGAGTGTTGTTAAACATGTAAGCATCTGGTGATTTCCAATAAATTATTTCAGATAAGTTACACAGATCTTAACGTTTACCAAAGTTGATAGCCTAATTTTGTACTTTTAAAATTACAAACTCCTGCTCACAGGAAGACAAGGTCTTGCTGTGTTGCTGAAACTGGCCTCAAACTCATGACCTACCGTCTCAGCCTCCTGAGAACCTGGGATTACAGATGTGCTATCACTTTGGGATGATTTATTAAAGTTAAATTCATTATACGTTAGGCATAGTTTTCTTTCTCTTTTTCTTTTTTTGAGAGACAGGTCTTTTAAGGTTATTTGACACTGGACTCAAGCTTGCCATTCCCCTACCTCAGCCTCCGAGTTGCTAGGATTAGAGGCATGCCTCACTATGCCTGGTTTAGGTATGTTTTTAATGTTTTACATATGTTCTCTATTTCACTAGTCTTCGGAAGCCTAAGGATGTGTCCCCTAGACCTCTGTGGACCTATTATACCCACTACAGTGCTGCATAGTATTTGTTCCTATTTTTGTGTTTGGGCACATATTAGGTTGGGAATCACTATGCACACAAGGAACCTACTAACTTAGGAAGAAATAAATTTTTTTCCCTTAATGTGATGCTGGGGACCAAATCAGGGCCTTGAGCATGCTAACTATACTTTTTGCCACTGAGCTATGTCCCCAGCCCCAATAAGAAATCAATTTTTAGGGCTGGGGATGTGGCTCAAGTGGTAGCGCGCTCGCCTGGCATGGGTGCGGCCCGGGTTCGATTCTCAGCACCACATACAAACAAAGATGTTGTGTCCGCCGAGAACTAAAAAAAAAAAAATAATAATAATAAATAAATATTAAGAATTATATCTTGAGGTTAATGTATTAAATCATTTTTTAAAAAAAGAAATCAATTTTTAAAATCAGAAAGACAGGGTTCACACAATCTTTTATGCAGTACACACGAAACTGATGCTTGGTACTCTAGTGTCTGCAGAAGCCATGCTTCTAAAACAGAAAACTAGCCTGTAATCCCAGTGGCTTGGAGGCTAAGGAAGGAAGATTCAAAGTTTGAAGCCAGCCTCAATAACTTGAGACTGTTTAAAAAAGAAAAAAAAAGGGGGGGGGGATGGGAAGGTGAGGGGTTGGGGTGTGGCTCAGTGGTAGAGGGCCTCTGGGTTCAAACCCTAGTATTTCGAGAAAACAAAGCAAACAAACCACCACCACAATAAATCAAAACCAACAACAAAAATCTGCTATTACATGAAGGATTTAACCAGATTAATTATAACTACAGACCTCCAAGAAATACTCTACTAATGCAGAAGTGTTATCTGCTTCTATGTGAAAAGCTTTTCACACACAGCATTACTTAGAACATTAAAATAAACTTTATGTACACATAATATTCATATAATTCATATGAATGCTAGACACAATATGTCCAGAAAGTGAATCGACATAAAGTATTCTCAAAAAGAATTCTTGAGGGCTGGGGATGTGGCTCAAGCGGTAGCGCGCTCGCCTGGTATGCGTGCGACCCGGGTTCGATCCTCAGCACCACATACCAACAAAGATGTTGTGTCCGCCAAGAACTGAAAAATGAATATTAAAAATTATAAAAAAAAGACTTTGCCTCATATTAAAAAAAAAAAAAAGAATTCTTGAGCAGCAAAATCCCCAAATTAAAAAAAAAAAAAAAAAAAGAGCCTTTGGGGAAGTTATCAATTCATACTGAAAAATAGTGAATATGTTTTCTCTGAAACTGATGCCAACAAATAAGCAAAGATTAAATGCAACTGGCTGGGTCTACAATATCATCTACCCATACATACTTCAGAGTATCTTTTTTTCCTCCCTACTTAGAGGCCAATAAAAGTAAATGTTGAAGACCTCAATCTGAAAAACCTGACACTTTTTGAGTTCTGGCACTGTATAAAAGGTTTTGGATTCAGGAGCATTTTGGGTTTTGGATTAGGGATGCTAACCAGGGTTAAGCCTATGAAAATATTCTTGAATCCAAAAAAAACTCCAAAGTTTGAACTGTTTCTGGTTCCAACTCTTTTCAGACAAGAGATAATCAAATGTATATGCACAGCTTGGGGAAAAAAATAGCCTCAAACTTCACCCCCATAGGGCACTAGCTGGCAGCATAATCTGGTATATCTTCTTAAAATATTTCAGCAAAATATTATAAGCTGGCACTTTCATTACTGCCATTAAGTAGCTGAACAGTATAACCACAAAATAATTACAAGTGAAGGAGCCAAAGAACAGTATCCTGGATGTAAAAAATTCAGAAATACATAAATTTTACAAGCTGTATGGAAGATTAACATCTAAATCAGTGGTTTGCAAGTGATTAAACTTATCAGGGTGATAAAAACCGCCATCACTGAACACCGCTCTCTACAAACAACAACAAGGCCTAGATTTAGTGATCTAACTCCTCTCCTGAGTAAGCCTCTCAGTGTCTCCTTGCCATCTACAGCTGACTTGTCCAATGGCATCTCTACAATGATGACAACATTCTCTGTGTGTTCCAGTGCAGTAGCAACCAGTCACCTGTGGTTTCTAAGCACCTGAAATGTGATTAGTGCTTCTGGAAACTGAACTGCACTTAATGTTATGAACATAAAGCTGTGGCTGGTAATTGCTATATTGAATAATGCAAGTAAAAAATCAGTTCATTTTTTCTCTGCTGATCTTTTATTATTTAGTAAATTTCTAGAAAAAAAAGGTCTGTTTTTGAACATTTCTGTTGCATTAGTCTTGTCCTATTCCTGATCAACTGTCAGTTTTTTGTAGCATGTGGAAAATTTCAGATGAACTTTAGAACTATTTTATCAGACCCATGAATATCATGTTAAAAATTTAAATAAGACTGCATCACACTTGGAGAACAGTTTGCAGAGAAGAAATCTTTATCAAATGTTTTCATCTAGAAACATGCTATGTGTCTATCCTTTCAGTTCTTAGTTTATGTCTTTTAGCAATGTTTTACATTGTGCTTGTGTGGCTAGGTCTATTTTCAAACCTTCTACAGTTTTTGCTGCTATTGTGAGTTAAAATTTTCCATCACATTTTAAAATATACTTTTGCTGGTTTGAGGAAAAAGAGACCTTCATATAGTGATGAATACAGACTGACAGTTGCCTATCCAAAACATTCCTTTCCTTGGGTGCCCAGCTAAAACATGATTACACAATCTCCTCTGCAGTTATGGGCGGCAGAAGTCATTTGAGTATGGCTTCCAGAAAACCTTTAAGAGAAGTAAGCTACAAAAAGTAGCTGAACAGGGGCTGAGGTTGTGGCTTATCAGTAGAGTGCTCGCCTAGCACGTGCAAGGTCCTGGGTTCAATCCTCAGCATCACATAAAAATAAATGAAATAAAGGTATTGTGTCCAATTATAACTAGAAAGCATAATTAAAAAAAAAAAAGTAGCTGAACAGTGTTCAGCTTCTGGTCCTTGCTTTTAACCTTTCTACATGGAACTAAGTTGTTGTGGCTGGAGTTCTGACAGCACTTTATGATATCGAAGATGGAAGCAGCACACTAAAGAGATAAAATAGAAGGAAAGAAAGATTCTAAATTTGCCAAGCATGGTGGTGCATGCCTGTAATCCCAGCGGCTTGGGAGGCTGAGACCCTGTCTCTAAATAAAATACAAAATAGGTCTGGGGATGTGGCTCAGTGGTCCAGTGCCCCTGAATTCAA